CATTACAGTAAGGGAGCTCCATTCCTCATAAGGCTATGATATATTGTTGTAAGTCAACATTACAGTAAGGGAGCTCCAATCCTCATAGGGCTATGATATATTGTTGTAAGTCTACAATACAGTAAGGGAGCTCCAGTCCTCATAGGGCTATGATATATTGGTGTAAGTCTACATTACAGTAAGGGAGCTCCATTCCTCATAGGGCTATGATATATTGTTGTAAGTCTACATTACAGTAAGGGAGCTCCAATCCTCATAGGGCTATGATATATTGTTGTAAGTCTACATTACAGTTAGGGAGCTCCAGTCCTCATAGGGCTATGATATATTGTTGTAAGTCTACATTACAGTAAGGGAGCTCCAATCCTCATAGGGCTGTGACATATTGTCTTCATTACAGTATGGAAGCTCCGATCCAAGATTGCTTTCTGGAACAGGCCAAGGACAAATAATTCTCTTGTTTTGGGAAGAAAATGTATGCAAGTATTTATACAAAAGAAAAAAATATCTTTATTTATAGTGTTTTATTTTCATGTTTTTGTAAGCATGTTTATTCCAGTTTCTTGGTATAATACAGTCAATTCTGATATAAAATGTTCTCTTGGTTCCTCTTTCTTGGCATAACAAAACTATATGTGAAACAATGTTGACTTGGTCTTATTCTCGCGCATCATCACAAACTTGGTCTTATTCTCGCGCATCATCAGAAAAATATTGTTACAGATAAGATTAGAGCTGTCTATCAATATAAATATCAGAGATCGATAATCGTTCACTAGATATCGATCGATTATTGATAAATATCGGAGGTGTAACTTTGATGAAAATTTAAAAAACTGTCTGAAAGAAATGAATATATTTCACGTCAGTGGTGAGTGATGACATGTTTTTGGACAATTAACAAAACAGCGTCCTGAACATAATTTAGAAGCAGACCATGAATAAAGTCCTAAATGTGTTTATTGTGTGAGAAATTTTCTTTGTTCCGTCACAAAAGTCAATGTACAATATTATCGATAACACAATTTTCATATCGATAATTATCAATAATCTTTCCTATCAACGATATTGCCAATTATCGATAATTTTAGCCAGCCCAATATAAAATCGTCAACAATCACCAACAATCATAAACACAGTTCAATCATATACGTCTTTGTCCATAGTACAACCATAAAACACAAACCCAAATGTACATAAAAACCCTTAAAACAGTCTGTCATACAGCATATTTAATTGCATGATAAAACTAAACGCTTAACAAATTCAACTAAGCTCTAATTGATAAGAAATAATATACTGAGGGAAACAAGTATGGGAACACCACTTTATCACAGTGTTCCTGGATATATTTTCACATTTTCACCCACAGTGCAAAATAAAGAGTGTGAAGAAATTTGGAAAATAGTCAAGAAACTTGTAATTTCATGTGTTCCCTTACTTGTTAACCTCAGTATATATGACTTACATCTGGAATGGTGGAATATATGTATATACAAAACACAGTTCTGATTCCTGTGGGGATAGCCATACCTTGTATCCCATTGTGATATATATATATATACGTGTGTGTATATATATATACTTGGACTATACATCCTATATATCTGTAGTCACGATATGTTAAAATACTGCCGATGTGACTTAAAATATTAACTCACTCGCGTGAACAGAGAGTATGTGATACGGGGCCTACTTGCAGTATGTGATGTAACGTGAACAGAGAGTATGTGATACGGGGCCTACTTGCATTATGTGATGTAACGTGAACAGACAGCACGTGATACGGGGCCTACTTGCATTATGCGATGTAACGTGAACAGAGAGTATGTGATATGGGCCTACTTGCATTATGTGATGTAATGTGAACAGACAGTATGTTATACGGGGCCTACTTGCATTATGTGATGTAATGTGAACAGAGAGTATGTGATAACGGGCCTACTTGCATTATGTGATGTAACGTGAACAGACAGTACGTGATACGGGGCCTACTTGCATTATGCGATGTAACGTGAACAGAGAGTATGTGATATGGGCCTACTTGCATTATGTGATGTAATGTGAACAGACAGTATGTTATACGGGGCCTACTTGCATTATGTGATGTAATGTGAACAGAGAGTATGTGATACGGGCCTACTTGCATTATGTGATGTAACGTGAACAGAGAGTATGTGATACGGGGCCTACTTGCATTATGTGATGTAACGGGAACAGACAGTACGTGATATGGGGCCTACTTGCATTATGTGATGTAACTGAACAGAGAGTATGTGATACGGGGCCTACTTGCATTATGGGATGTAACGCGAACAGAGAGTATGTGATACGGGGCCTACTTGCATTATGTGATGTAACGTGAACAGACAGTACGTGATACGGGGCCTACTTGCATTATGTGATGTAACGTGAACAGAGAGTATGTGATAGGGGGCCTACTTGCAGTTTGGGATCGGTCTAGTCAGGAAGGGACAATCCAGTGATTGACGTTATTAGCGGCCATCAGTTGGGACACGAATACATGAACCAACCAAGTCAGCAGGTCCATCGATCCCGTTTGTTTCATCTTACCACAAACAGTTAACTCCAGTCGAGCTGGTTGGAGGCACCAGTTGTGTAGAGCAGTAAGGATGTGGATGTAAGGACGAGGGGTGTAAGGATGAGGGGTGTATGGACAAGGGGTGTAAGGATGAGAGGTGGATGGACAAGGGGTGTAAGGACGAGGGGTGTAAGGACGAGGGGTGTATGGACGAGGGGTGTAAGGACGAGTGGTGTATGGACGAGGGGTGTATGGACGAGGGGTGTAAGGACGAGGGGTGTAAAGACGAGGGGTGTATGGACGAGGGGTGTATAGAGAAGGGGTGTAAGGACGAGGAGAATAAGGATGAGGGGAGTAAGGATGGGGTGTAGAGGCGAGGGGTGTAAGGACGAGGGGTGTAAGGACGAGGGTGTATGGACGAGGGGTGTAAGGACGAGGGTGTATGGACGAGGGGTGTAAGGACGAGGGATGTAAATACAAGGGGTGTATGGACGAGGGGTGTAAGGACGAGGGGTGTAAAGACGAGGGGTGTATGGACGAGGGGTGTATAGAGAAGGGGTGTAAGGACGAGGAGAATAAGGATGAGGGGAGTAAGGATGGGGTGTAAGGTCGAGGGAAGTAGTGATGGGGTCAAGGAGGGGAGTAAGGACGTGTTCAGTAGAGACAACGGGCGTAGGGACGAGGGAAATGCTCAGGGTTCAAATCCAGCTGCAAGGTTTAACTTGGGGAAACCCAGATATACAAATACTATCTTCCTACAACTGAATGTCAGTAATGTCAGCTTGTCACAACTCATTCCATCACAGTAAAACAAGATCCTGTTAATTCTGGCAGTAATATCCAGTGAAATCACATCTATTTACATTTCTGAATTAATGCCTCATATTTATGAAATAATGTCATGAACAAAATATATGGATATTCCTTGTAGTAGTTGTCAAGGAAACAGTATTCAAAATCTGCATGTTGTCAGCGTACAACAGATCATATTCATGACAATCCACTCCCATGAAATAGGTCAAGGATAACACACAAGTAAGCTTTCATTCTTTACAAATTATGTACAAACTAGGACACACTTTACTATTATCTGACATTGTCAGACTTTAAACACAACCTGAGAGTTAAAATATTAAAATTGAAACGAAATACCCTAACCCGAAGTATGAAATTTTCATGTTTCATGTGTCCTTTTTGGTAACCTATGTTTCAAGGTTACCTCTTCACGAGGGAGTGAGGGATTTATTTTACACTGCTTTTAGAAATATTCCCGCAATATCACAGCGGGGGGACACCAGAAACAGGCTCCACACATTGTACCCATGTGGGGAATCGAACCCGGGTCTTCGGCGTGACGAGCGAACGCTTTAACCACTAGGCTACCCCACCCGCCCCTGTCTTCAGGTGAATGATATAGAGTGGTTATATATACTCTTGGAATTCTTTGAGTGGCATTTTAGAAGTTGGGAAGTACAATATAGAACAAACTTTATGGATAACAACTTCTTTTTATTCGTGAGTGCGACGTTTCGATACAGATTCTTGTACCGTTGTCAAGCATAATGTAACAAAGAAAACAACATAATTAACATAATTGGCTAGGCAGAAAGCTGATGAAGCCAGAGAGTAGACAGAGGACAGACGTGGAAGCCAATGACGTACAAATAATATGAGATGTTTATACAGCAGAGTTTATACAGTAGATTGGGCTTGGTGGATGAGTGCATCATAAGCGGATGGAATGAAGTATCCTTGGTCTCTGTTGATGGTGGGCTTTTGGCGTTTGATGTGGATGGCTCACGAATAAAAAGAAGTTGTTATCCATAAAGTTTGTTCTATATTATACTCTTGGAAAATTATTTGGCTTATTCGCCTACTAAATTCTTCTTGTTTATTGCTATTATCAGTGTAGGAAACTTAACAGAAAATTCTACCAGACACAAGGACTGGTAACTCTGAAACCTTACCAGCCCGTCCAAAAAGTTGCCAGACCAACTTTAATTTCACATTTCAGCTCAGCAATAATAAAAGAAAACTATTAAGTATATTTGCTTTCATATTTATTTAAAAATGCCCATAAAGAGAAACAGTTTTATCACAGTGCTTTCTGCTGGCAATCCGAGAAATAGGGGCAACATGTTACACAGCCACTTTACAGGGCGCAGCCATTTTACATTACTGCCGCTGTTCCAAGCCTTGCTACGATTGACTCACTCACTAACACTGACCAATAGACGTTCGCCTTACATCAGTGTCATCAACTTGACACGAATTCCACGAAATTGAACCAGCTTGACACGAATCTCGGCTAATACATCTCAAGTGTTTTTGTTACAAAAACAGTCTCACATCTAAGATTCTCATGATGCCATCCCTCCGTAGAATTAACCTGTCTCGGGCGTTCGGGTGGGCAGTAGTTTCCTACACTGTTATTTTCCATTGTTTTAAAAAAATTTTGGCTTGTGTACATTGCTCAGAGAGTATATCTATGTATATATACATATATATATCCATATCAGCTCTGTGTCATTCAACTGAAGAAGGAGTTTTTGTTTTGACAAGTTTGTTTCTTGTTAAACGCCACACTCAGCAATATTCCAGCTATTTCGTGATGGTCTGTAAATAATCCAGTCTGGACCAGACCATTCGATGACTGACATCACGAGCATCGATCTAAGCAATTAGGATATGATGTGACCTGTGTCTACCAGGCGTGACCCGTTAATCACCTTTTACGACAAGCATGGGTTGTTGAAGATCAATTCTAACCCAGATCTTGAAAAAGGGGTAAGACTCTGAAACGTTACAAAATCAAAACATTAACATCCAAAAATATTTTTGACTCATCATTTCTAAGGATGCTCCTTAAATTATTCTGAGCTGTAAAATACCTTGTGGACAGTAGGCATCAAGAAAACAGTATTCCTGATTTATAGGGTTTCCCTGAAGAAACGAAAACCTTACACATGACTACTCTAAAAAAAATAGCGCTTGCAAAAAGCTCCGTACAGAGTCTCTGAACACTGTCCCAATGCAATCCCTGTACACAGATGTGGAGTATGTGATGTTGGGAGATTCTGCACATCAATGAATGTCAATGCCGGTGGTGTTTGGGAGTTTGATGGCCGTCAGGCCACCCAAACACAGCAGCACGGCCACCATGATCATTGGTACCGCGAAGTGGATGTCTACCAGTTCACCGAACACCACGTTGCCGAGGATAGCGCCGATACGAGCCATGCCCGTTTGGACACCGAATGCTGTAGTTCTGTAATGCAGATTTAGGCAGTTTGGATCATGGTGTATTCCACAAAGAGTGAGACAGTGAGTTTAGTTTTACGCCACTTATAGTAATATTCCTGTTATATTACAGCGGAGTACATCAGAAATGGGCTTCACATATTGTACCCATGTAAGGAATCAAACCTAGGGATTCAGCATGATGGGCAGATACTTTAACCATTAGGCCACCACACCACCATCCAATGCTTTTTCTGGTCCTTAAAATTCGGCCTATCTGTGGTCATATACAGTACATAAAGTGGGTTCAAAAATCCCATCGGCCGACGCCCTCTACAAATCATTTTTTATTTTGGGCGATCAAATAATGGTATCTTACTGGTCCGTGGGCTACCAGATAATTTCTGGAATGTTTACGGTTCCAAACTGAAAATAAACTCGGATTTCATTTCATATCTGCTCAAAATGTAGCTATTAAAACTTCACACGTTATAATAAAGAAATGAAGTAACTTTCACAATGATAATAATCTTCAGTTATCTTTCTTTGCTATTTATCACTCCTCGATCGGGGCCTCACAGTAAAGCTATAGAAACCAAAGCAAGCATTTCTATAAATAACTGACCAATCATTGACGAGAAAGCCGGCATGCACTCGCGTCGACAGTGAGGCTGAGACAGATTAGCTGACGACTGAGTTTCACATTTTGTTGTTAGAAAAATGTCACAAAAACTCATCAACAGCCTTTTACAATCAGTCAGTTACATTCTTCTAACCATTATTCATCACAACATAACTTTATTTTTCACTTTGGGTGTAAAACTATTTGAAGTTTTTGACCTCAAGTTGGACATATCCAAAAGAGTACAATAATGTAATTCAAATCTAACTTATTGAATGTACTTTCAGTAGAATTTGATTGGTTGGTTTGTTGTTTAATGCCGCATTCAGCAATATTCCAGCTATATGGCGGCGTTATGTAAATAATCAAGTCTGGACTAGGCAATCCAGTGATCAACAGCATGAGCAATCAACGCAATTAGGATATGATAACATGTGTCAACCAAGCCAGCAAGTCTGAACAACTGATCCCGTTAGTCGCCTTTTGCGACAAGCATGGGTTACTGAAGACCACGGGTTTTTTTTGGAAGAGCTGGAGTACAACATACCTGACGTTGGTTGGAAAGAGCTCTGTGGAGAGAACGTCAAGTGCGTTCCAGCCGACGGTGGAGACGGCTCCGAACACGCACGATATTGCTACATTCTGTACCCTGGTTTGTACGAACCATATGAAGAACACCGCCAGCCCTGATATACACATGCTGGATGCTGTAAGAACAGAGAAGAGTCAACAAGGGGAGGTAACCATGAACACCGCCAGTCCTGATATACACATGCTGGATGCTGCAATAACAGAGAAGAGTCAACAAGGGGAGGTAACCATGAACACCGCCAGCCCTGATATACACATGCTGGATGCTGCAAGAACAGAGAAGAGTCAACAAGGGGAGGTAACCATGAACACCGCCAGCCCTGATATACACATGCTGGATGCTGCAATAACAGAGAAGAGTCAACAAGGGGAGGTAACCATGAACACCGCCAGCCCTGATATACACATGCTGGATGCTGCAATAACAGAGAAGAGTCAACAAGGGGAGGTAACCATGAACACCGCCAGCCCTGATATACACATGCTGGATGCTGCAAGAACAGAGAAGAGTCAACAAGGAGGTAACCATGAACACCGCCAGTCCTGATATACACATGCTGGATGCTGCAATAACAGAGAAGAGTCAACAAGGAGGTAACCATGAACACCGCCAGCCCTGATATACACATGCTGGATGCTGCAATAACAGAGAAGAGTCAACAAGGGAGGTAACCATGAACACCGCCAGTCCTGATATACACATGCTGGATGCTGCAAGAACAGAGAAGAGTCAACAAGGGGAGGTAACCATGAACACCGCCAGCCCTGATATACACATGCTGGATGCTGCAAGAACAGAGAAGAGTCAACAAGGGAGGTAACCATGAACACCGCCAGCCCTGATATACACATGCTGGATGCTGCAATAACAGAGAAGAGTCAACAAGGGAGGTAACCATGAACACCGCCAGTCCTGATATACACATGCTGGATGCTGCAAGAACAGAGAAGAGTCAACAAGGGAGGTAACCATGAACACCGCCAGCCCTGATATACACATGCTGGATGCTGCAAGAACAGAGAAGAGTCAACAAGGGGAGGTAACCATGAACACCGCCAGCCCTGATATACACATGCTGGATGCTGCAATAACAGAGAAGAGTCAACAAGGGGAGGTAACCATGAACACCGCCAGCCCTGATATACACATGCTGGATGCTGCAAGAACAGAGAAGAGTCAACAAGGGGAGGTAACCATGAACACCGCCAGTCCTGATATACACATGCTGGATGCTGTAAGAACAGAGAAGAGTCAACAAGGGGAGGTAACCATGAACACCGCCAGCCCTGATATACACATGCTGGATGCTGCAATAACAGAGAAGAGTCAACAAGGGAGGTAACCATGAACACCGCCAGTCCTGATATACACATGCTGGATGCTGCAATAACAGAGAAGAGTCAACAAGGGAGGTAACCATGAACACCGCCAGCCCTGATATACACATGCTGGATGCTGCAAGAACAGAGAAGAGTCAACAAGGGGAGGTAACCATGAACACAGCCAGCCCTGATATACACATGCTGGATGCTGCAAGAACAGAGAAGAGTCAGCAAGGGGAGGTAACCATGAACACCGCCAGTCCTGATATACACATGCTGGATGCTGCAAGAACAGAGAAGAGTCAACAAGGGGAGGTAACCATGAACACCGCCAGCCCTGATATACACATGCTGGATGCTGTAAGAACAGAGAAGAGTCAACAAGGGGAGGTAACCATGAACACCACCAGCCCTGATATACACATGCTGGATGCTGCAAGAACAGAGAAGAGTCAACAAGGGGAGGTAACCATGAACACCGCCAGTCCTGTTATACACATGCTGGATGCTGTAAGAACAGAGAAGAGTCAACAAGGGGAGGTAACCATGAACACCGCCAGTCCTGATATACACATGCTGGATGCTGCAAGAACAGAGAAGAGTCAACAAGGAGGTAACCATGAACACCGCCAGCCCTGATATACACATGCTGGATGCTGTAAGAACAGAGAAGAGTCAACAAGGGGAGGTAACCATGAACACCACCAGCCCTGATATACACATGCTGGATGCTGCAAGAACAGAGAAGAGTCAACAAGGGGAGGTAACCATGAACACCGCCAGTCCTGTTATACACATGCTGGATGCTGCAAGAACAGAGAAGAGTCAGCAAGGGGAGGTAACCATGAACACAGCCAGCCCTGATATACACATGCTGGATGCTGTAAGAACAGAGAAGAGTCAACAAGGGGAGGTAACCATGAACACCGCCAGTCCTGATATACACATGCTGGATGCTGCAAGAACAGGGGAAGGGGAGGTAACCAAAAGCCGCGGTGTGGTGTGGTGTGATGAGGCATGGTGCGGTTGTGGTGTAATAATGTGTGGTGTGGCTTGGTGTGACATGGTGTGGTGCAGGTGGCGTGGTGACATGGGACATGGTGCAGCTGCGTGGTGTGGTGCGCTTGCGATGCGGGCGCAGTGTGGAGCGGTGTGGAGTGGCGTGGCGTGGCGTGGTTTGTTTGGATGGTGTCTGGCTTGGCTTCGTGTTCCTTCAGTCATTTATTAAGCTGTTCATCAGAATTTACTTGCAAAATGCTAACCGACATCCATCAATGAACTAACAAGTCTATATCAAATCATATAGAGCGAGCAGCAAAGACATACATGTGTGCATGCAGGCACAAAAGAGGTGGTGTCATGAATCAAAAGGAAGTATGGCTTTAGGCGTGATATTTTGGAAACAATATTCCCGTTATATCCGCTCCTGTCAACTTGAGGGAGAGGATTATCACTATTTACATCCTACAGGAGGGTAGGACTCGAACTTGAGACCATCACAGAGTCACAGGTTACTGGCACACCAAAGGGAGATAACTCTACACAGCAATAATGCTGCCATAGATGACCAGGCCCCTTGCATGACATTTTGTTTGGCATTTTTTAAATAAATAAGAACATTACTATTATGATCATTAATATGAATTCCATCTTCTCACAAAAGACACTCACAAAGAAGTAGTTTTCTTCCAAGTCTGTCCATAAGGAAAATGGTGAACAAGTTTCCAGGAAGGTTGGATGCTGCTGTTAGGAAACCTTCCAAAAAGATGGTGTTACTCGGCGACTCACACATGGTCGAGTTGCTTTGGTCGTCGGTGGAGTTGCTGATAGTTGTGTTGACGGGGCCGGGATCGCATGGTGTCCCTCCGAACTTCTCAATCCGACTGAACAGCTCGGGGAACCACATGAACAATCCGTAGTACCTGGTGGGGAGAGAGCAGGGAGTGAAGGTTGAACAACTCAAAGGTATTGAGGGACGAGGAGGAAGACAGGGAGGTAGGAGGGTGTTGAATGATGGAGGTAGGGAGGGAGAGTAGGAGGGTGCTGAATGATGGAGAAAGGCAGGGAGAGGAGGATGTTGAATGATGGAGGTAGGGAGGGAGACAGAGAAGGAAGGAGGGTGTTGAATGATGGAGAAAGGCAGGGCGAGGAGGGTGTTGAATGATGGAGGTAGGGAGTGAGACAGGGAAGGAAGGAGGGTGTTGAATGATGGAGGTAGGGAGGGAGACAGGGAGGAAGGAGGGTGGTGAATGATGGAGGGAGAGGAGGGTGTTGAATGATGGAGAAAGGCAGGGAGAGGAGGGTGTTGAATGATGGAGGAAGGCAGGGAGAGGAGGGTGTTGAATGATGGAGGAAGGCAGGGAGAGGAGGGTGTTGAATGATGGAGGAAGGGAGGGAGAGTAGGAGGGTGCTGAATGATGGAGAAAGGCAGGGAGAGGAGGGTGTTGAATGATGGAGGAAGGCAGGGAGAGGAGGGTGTTGAATGATGGAGGTAGGGAGGGAGACAGGGAAGGTAGGAGGGTGTTGAATGATGGAGGTAGGGAGGGAGACAGGGAAGACAGGAGGGTGGTGAATGATGGAGGTATGGAGGGAGACAGGGAGGAAGGAGTGTGTTGAATGATGGAGGGAGGGAGAGGGTGTTGAATGATGGAAGAAGGCAGGGAGAGGAGGGTGTTGAATTATGGAGGAAGGCAGGGAGAGGAAGGTGTTGAAATGATGGAGTAGGGATGAGACAGGGAAGGTAGGAGGGTGTCGAATGATGGAGGGAGGGAGACAGGGAAGGTAGGAGAGTGTTGAATGACGGAGGTATGGAGGGAGACAGGAGGGAGGGTGTTGAATCATGGAGTGAGGGAGGGAGACAGGGAGGGTGTTGAATAATGGAGGGAGGGTGTTGAATGTTGGAGGGAGGGAGGGAGACAGGGAGGGTGTTCAATGATGGAGGGAGGGAGGGAGACAGGAAGGAAGAGTGCGAGGAATGATGGAGGGAGGGAGGGAGACAGGAAGGAAAGAGTGTGTTGAATGATGGAGGGAGGGAGGGAGACAGGAAGGAAGAGTGTGTTGAATGATGGAGGTAGGGAGAGGAGACAGGAAGGAAGAGTGTGTTGAATGATGGAGGTAGGCAGGGAGACAGCGAAGGAAGGAGGGTGTTCAATGTTGGAGCGAGGGAGGGTGTTCAATGATGGAGGGAGGGAGGGAGGGAGACAGGAAGGAAGAGGGTGTTGAATGATGGGGGAAGGGAGGGAGACAGGGAGGGTGTTGAATAATTGAGGGAGGGTGTTGAATGTTGGAGCGGGAAGGGAGGCAAGGAGGGTGTTGAATGATGGAGGGACGGAGACAGGGAGGGTGTTGAATGATGGAGGGACGGAGACAGGGATGGTGTTGAATGATTGAGGGAGGGAGACAGGGAGGGTGTTGAATGATGGAAAGAGGGAGGGCAGGTGAGTGAAGCAGAGAAGGTGATCTGAGGAGGGAGTTGAGTGAAGGGAAGAGAAGGAGATACAAATTATTGTCCCCTGCTTTACTTTGTCAGTGTTTTACCTTCACTTACAGAGGTGATTGCTGCTAATTGCTGCTAACTGCTGTAAAGTATTGAATTTTAGTGATGTGTACTGTACGTTCAGATAATTACTTCAAAGCCTGGCATGAATCAGTGGTCATGTGGACAGTGGTCATGACTGATAGGTGAAATATGTGACACAGATAACTACTCCTTCAGACACTGTATTTTGAGTTTCTGCATCCATTCTCCACATTTGTGCGAACAGAATGCAGATTTGTGCACCACGTAAAACCCTGCTTTGTGCATGTTGTACACAAGGAAAGAAAACAAACGTCTTTTAGTTCTGACCTAACTTACATGGAAAGGATATTGATATTACTCCTGGTATTTGTCTCACAGGACTCAAAGTAACTAACAACAACTTACCCAAACGCAAGCGTGAAGTTGATCACAAGTAGGACGACATTACTTCTGAGCAGCGGGGGACGGAACAGCGCCACAGTAGTGTCCAGCAGCTGTAACAGTGGTCAGTGAGGGAGTCAATGTTGGATTGTATACTCCTCAAGGAGTTGAGAATGAAAATTAAGTACTAGGGCAATGACAGGAGTAAAAAGTTGAATTCAGTGGATCAGAACCTACATTCAACAAGTGAATGTATTTAGTACGTTCCAAGTCTCAGTAACTCTTTACATTACCCATAGTCCTTTCTCCGAAACAAATCTGAGCATCCTGCTCAGAAGTGGAGACATCTGCTTAGTCCCTGGATGAACATCGTACCATCAAATAATTCTTACATCACGAGTGAGGGAGTTTAGATTTATGCCAAATTTTAGTAACATTCCAGTGATATCACATCGGGGGACACGATATATGTGGGGCTGTAATGATGCATCAATATGTGACTATTAGTGGTGTTCCGATTAATTGAAATAATCGAAGATTGGTCGCAGTGACCAAACGACCAAGCAATCGATCACATTTTCTCATAATCGAACATAAACGATTTTGGAACTACTGTTTTAGTCTTTGAAATACTTGAGAATGGAACATATCGTAGAAGTTGTCAGGGCCTGAATACGTGTTTATTTCTTAGAAAACGCACTTCGCTAACTGAAAAGCCATGACTGAATATATATTTTGAAGACTCCGGGAAGTTTATGTTCATGATATATTAGTCATCACTATAAAGTAGCAAGTTGCAACATGTTATACATATCTGCAATAACAACCTGGATAGGAAAATCTGAAAAATGAAGCTAACCAATTTTTTATGATGATTGTTCGTTGGTAATGAAGCAATCATCAATTGTGATATTTCAACCAATTCCCAACACTAGCGACTATACACAGTTTAGTAATCTACTTCGGTTGATAAATGTGCAGCCCAAAGTACAGGAAGTACCAGATTTGTTCACTTTATAGGAGCTAGAGAAACCAATTTAACACTAAAGTAGTTGAATACTCATGAGGTTGGTTAAATGTGGGACTGACCATCAGAGGGAGATAACTCTCTGCCACATCGCTGCACGAGGAAAGTTTTACTTTGTGATGGACATTAATTAACTCCCACTGTCATTGCAAGGTATGCTTCATTATGTAAATCATAACTTGACAAGTTTTGCTAAATGTGGGATCTTTTTAGGGCAAATAAATGGGGATTAGAGCCGTTTGTAAGGCTAAAACAAATTTAGGGCCTTTTAAGAGTCAAATGTCCAAATTTCAGACTTTTTAAAGCGTGGGCAAACCCTGTCAAAGGAGAAGTTGAGTCGCATGGTTATTTTGCTGTACGCTAGGACCCGCGAAGATCCAGGTTAGAATTGAACTTCAGTAACCCGTGCTTGGCGTAAGAGGCAAGTTGAAGGGTGGTCAGTCTCGCTGACTTGGTTGACACGTCATCATATCCCAATTGTGTGGATCGATGCTCATGCTGTTGATCACTGAACTGTCTGGTCAAGATCTGATTATTTATGGACTGCTACAATATAGCCGGAATACTGCTGTAACTAAACTCACTCACTCACTCAGGACTGTACACAAGGAGCAATGACAACACTGGGATCATCGTTGGTCCAACAACAACCTGGACACATGAGGGTTTCGATCTCAGAACTTTGTGCTTGCAAGCCTGGAGTGTTACGTAAAGGATCAAAACCGACTCCGAGGTTTTGTTTGGAAAAGTAAGCCCGTGGCAGAAGGAAATTGGGGAGGATCGACAGGCCTGACCCGATTTCCCGAGCCCGAGGGCTTACTTTTTCAAACAAAACCGAGGAGGAGGTTTTGATCCAATTTATGAACCGAACACAGATAAACTTAGATATAATTTTAATATTTGGTATTTATTGTTTAAATCATCTGGGATGCGACTGGCATCCGACACCTTGCCTTGCACGCGCAATGCACGTGTTCAGCACACGCTACCCGTGTTCTGCACATCTGCGGCACGGACTACCCGTCTTGTGAGGAACACATGGTTCATACTGACAAACAATCTTATTCTTCACAGCGATCCTTCGTAGCCTAGTGGATAAAACCGTCAACCTAGTAAGCGACTGGTTGTACGTTCGAAACCAGGTATCGGCAATATATGTTTTCAATAATGTGATAATTCATGAATCTGTTCAATGATAGCAAGACGAAGTTATATCAATCATCAAAACAAGTAATAATTCAAAGTCAAGGGATTTCATGGAGAATGTCCACGAAACTGCCTGTAGAGGTTTACTCGGTAAAAGGAGAACCTGGCGAGACAACAACTTGGGGTTTAAACTACTTGCTCACATGTAAATTAAGTGAGTATGGTTTGATGCCAATGGAAGCAATATTCCAGCAATATTCCAGCAATATCACGTCGGGAGACACCAGATATGGTCATCATGCATTGTACCCATTTAGGAATCAAACCCAGGTTTTCAGCATGATGAGCTAACCCTAGCCACTGGGCTACCCAACCATCCCCATAGGTATAACAGAAAGGATTCCAAATCACGTGACATACATACATGGGCACACTTGGCCTTCATGGTTTGAACCTTGTGCTGGCTGTCAGAAACAGACGTGTGGCCATGTTTCTCCTCCTCGGACAGCACCAGCGCTTCCACCTAAGGGAGATAACCACGGCAGGTCAAGTCAATATCTGGATCAAGTCCAATCACATCAAAGGCCAATATTATTTCAAGGTGCATGGAGTGATCTAGGAAAATATTAAGAGAGTGAGTCTAGTTTTACGCTACTTTTTGCATTATTCCTCTGAAGGATATCACAAAGGTGTTTCACATATTGTACCCATGTGGGAAATCGGACCCCGAGCCTTCAGCGTGATGAGTGAACACTTTAACCACCAGCCTACCCCACTGCCCTGAATATATAAGCAGACATATGATACAATCACTTAATTTCCAAAATGTCTCTATACAAATATATAAGTGTGTAGCACTTACTATTTCATCTAGATTACTATTACAGCAGGGCTCAATGTAAGAGATGTTAACCCACTTGCACAAGGTGCAATGTAAGATAAAAACTAGTTGCACCAGTCAAATTCCAGTTGTACAGTTTTTATTGCAATATGTAATATCAGAAATATGCTATTGAATTATTGAGATGTTTTATTCAGAATTTTCCCTCTCAAAAATTTACTTGCACCTGGTGCAAGTTAGACTAACAACTAGGTTGCACTTTGTAATATTGGGTTGCACCAGTGCAGGTAACAAAGCACTAAATTGAGCCCTGTTACAACTTTGTAAAAAAGATTAAGAAAATAAGTCTGCATTTGCATTCCAGCGCCTTGAGCATGCACTAGTGTGTGGATATGTGCGCTATGTAAATATCCAATAATAATAAAATAATAAAAAATAAATTTTATGAAACATAAAGCAGTCTTTGAATTTTTATACTTCCAATGCAGAATCTGTGAAATAATTTTTAAAATGCTGTCGCAAACATTATGAAACCATATTAAGTATGATCATTATGATTATTACTTGTTACAGCAATGTTTCATTTATATTCGGCTTACCTTAAAAGGTTCTCTTTCTCTGTTTCTCTCGTGGACTTGCTTAAGGACGTAGATAGCATCTGTCTCTCGCCGAACCTGTAGTCAAACAATAGTCAAACATCACACAGATAGTAGCTATCTATCTCTTATGCTGCAGTCAAACAACAGTCAAACATCACACAGATAGTACCTATCTATCTCTTATGCTGCAGTCAAACAACAGTCAAACATTACACAGATAGTACCTATCTATCTCTTATGGTGTAGTCAAACAACAGTCAAATACTCAAAACACCCAATCAACCAATCACCATCCTGGACACCCAATCAACCAATCACCATCCCGACCTCCCAATCAACCCAACCAGATCAACCTGAGCACCCAATCAATCAAGCACCAATTTGGACCACCCAATCAACCCAACCAGATCAACCTGACCACCCAATCAAACAAGCACCAATTTGGACCACCCAATCAACCCAACCAGATCAACCTCAGCACCCAACCAATCAAGCACCCAACCAATTTGGACCACCCAATCAACCCAACCAGATCAACCTGACCACCCAATCAATCAAGCACCAATTTGGACCACCCAATCAACCCAACCAGATCAACCTGACCACCCAATCAATCAAGCACCAATTTGGACCACCCAATCAACCCAACCAGATCAACCTGACCACCCAATCAAACAAGCACCAATTTGGACCACCCAATCAACCCAACCAGATCAACCTCAGCACCCAACCAATCAAGCACCCAACCAATTTGGACCACCCAATCAACCCAACCAGATCAACCTGACCACCCAATCAATCAAGCACCAATTTGGACCACCCAATCAACCCAACCAGATCAACCTGACCACCCAATCAATCAAGCACCAATTTGGACCACCCAATCAACCCAACCAGATCAACCTGACCACCCCATCAACCAATTCACATCCCGACCACTCAATCAAACTGGGGCCCACTCTACTTGACTTGGATTCTTAACATGACATGTTATACTCAGCAATATGGCGTCAGTCTGTAGAGGAGTCTGTACCAGGTAATCCAGTGATCAACATCATCATCATTAATCTAAGCATGACACAGCAGGGGACACCAGAAATGGGCTTCACACATTGTACCCATGTGGGGAATCGAACCCAGGTCTTCAGCATGACGAGCGAATGCTTTAACCACTTGGCTACCAACCGCCCCTCTGCCCAGTGACCCCTAAGGGCTGCATGCTTCATTGTGAGCAGGCCACAGAGGATGTTACCGTGAGCACGCTACACAGAGGATGTTACCGTGAGCACGCTACACAGAGGATGTTACCGTGAGCACGCTACACAGAGGATGTTACCCTGAGCACGATACACAGGGGATGTGACCGTAAGCACGCTACACAGAGGATGTGACTGTGAGCACGCTACACAGAGGATGTTACAGTGGGCATGGTACACAAAGGATGTTACCGTGAGCACACTACACAGAAGATGTTACCGTGAGCACGCTACACAGGGATGTTACCGTAAGCACGCTACACAAAGGATGTTACCGTGAGCAGGTACTTGGGGCTCTCAGGCATCAGGAAGAAAAGAACGGCAGAAGACAGCGCAGGGATGGTGCAGACAGCGATGAAGATACGCCAGCTGGAGTAGGTGAACTCGGGGGAGAAGTAGCCCCACATCTCCTGGGGGATGATGATCCATGCCAGCCCTGCAACAACAGCAGCAGCAGCAACATCACATACACGGCAGCACAGACATAGTGTACCAGTATATCAGCATGTACCAGTATATCGGTGTGTACCAGTATATCAGTGTGTACCAGTATATCGGTGTGTACCAGTATATCAGTGTGTACCTGTATATCGGTGTGTACCAGTATATCGGTGTGTACCAGTATATCAGTGTTTACCAGTATATCAGCCTGTACCAGTATATCAGCCTGTACCAGTATACCAGTGTGTACCAGTATATCAGCATGTACCAGTATATCAGCCTGTACCAGCATATCAGCATGTACCAGTATATCAGCCTGTACCAGTATATCAGTGTGTACCAGTATATCAGTATGTACCAGTATATCAGTGTGTACCAGTATATCAGTGTGTACCAGTATGTCAGTGTGTACCAGTATATCAGCATGTAACAGTGCATCAGTATGTACCAGTATACCAGTGTGTACCAGTATGTCAGCCTGTACCAGTATATCAGCCTGTACCAGTATATCAGTATGTACCAGTATATCAGCATGTACCAGTATATCAGCCTGTACCAGCATATCAGCCTGTACCAGTATATCAGCCTGTACCAGTATATCAGCCTGTACCAGCATATCAGCCTGTACCAGCATATCAGTGTACCAGTATACCAGCGTGTACCAGTATGTCAGCCTGTACCAGTATATCAGTATGTACCAGTATATCAGCATGTACCAGTATATCAGCCTGTACCAGTATATCAGCCTGTACCAGTATATCAGTATGTACCAGTATATCAGCATGTACCAGTATATCAGCCTGTACCAGCATATCAGCCTGTACCAGTATATCAGCCTGTACCAGTATATCAGCCTGTACCAGCATATCAGCATGTACCAGTATACCAGTGTGTACCAGTATGTCAGCCTGTACCAGTATATCAGTATGTACCAGTATATCAGCATGTACCAGTATATCAGCCTGTACCAGTATATCAGCCTGTACCAGTATATCAGTATGTACCAGTATATCAGCATGTACCAGTATATCAGCATGTACCAGTATATCAGCCTGTACCAGTATATCAGCCTGTACCAGTATATCAGCCTGTACCAGTATATCAGCCTGTACCAGCATATCAGCATGTACCAGTATACCAGTGTGTACCAGTATGTCAGCCTGTACCAGTATATCAGTATGTACCAGTATATCAGCATGTACCAGTATATCAGCCTGTACCAGTATATCAGTGTGTACCAGTATATCAGTATGTACCAGTATATCAGCATGTACCAGTATATCAGCATGTACCAGTATTTCAGCATGTACCAGTATATCAGTATGTACCAGTATATCAGCATGTACCAGTATATCAGCATGTACCAGTATATCAGCATGTACCAGTATTTCAGCATGTACCAGTATATCAGTATGTACCAGTATATCAGCATGTAACAGCAATGATTAACAGTAATGATTACCTGCGGCCAGTATGTTGCCTCCCATCCAGAATGTTGCCAGGACTGAGATCATGGAGCCTCGCCGGTCCTTGGGTTGAAACTCACAGAAGTAGGAGAAGATGACTGGCATACTGCCGCCAACACTGAAACATTCGCACTAACGTTTAAGAAAAGTTAAATGTACAATCTGTTGCTCTCTTTTCAATACCAACGATGAACAGGATACAAGACACAACACAGAGTCACCCAACACCGCTGATAAAGGGGAGACAACTACAACACAGAGTCACCCAACAACACTGATAAAGGAGAGACAACTACAACACAGACTCACCCAACACCACTGATAAAGGGGAGACAACTACAACACAGACTCACCCAACACCACTGATAAAGGGGAGACAACTACAACACTGACTCACTAAACACCGCTGATGAAGGGGAGACAACTACAACACAGACTCAACCAACACCGCTGATAAAGGGGAGACAACTACAACACTGACTCACCCCACACCACTGATAAGGGGAGACAACTACAACACAGACTCACTAAACACCGCTGATGAAGGGGAGACAACTACAACACAGACTCACTAAACACCGCTGATGAAGGGGAGACAACTACAACACAGACTCACCCAACATCGCTGATAAAGGGGAGACAACTACAACACAGACTCACCCAACACCGCTGATAAGGGGAGACAACTACAACACTGACTCACCCCACACCACTGATAAGGGGAGACAACTACAACACAGACTCAACCAACACCACTGATAAAGGAGAGACAACTACAACACTGACTCACCCCACACCACTGATAAAGGGGAGACAACTACAACACCGACTCACCCCACACCACTGATGAAGGGGAGACAAGTACAACACCGACTTACCCAACACCACTGATGAAGCGCATGAGGAGGAAGAGCCAGAAGACTTGGGACACACTGGACAGCAGCCCTCCGATACCGTTGACCATCAGTGACCACAGCAGGATCGAACGACGTCCACCCTTGTCGGCCAGGGAGCCCCAGAAATAGCCACCAACCATCATACCTGAAACACGTGAGTGAGTGAGTGAGTGAGTGAGTGAGTGAGTGAGTGAGAGTGAGTGAGTGAGTGAGTGAGTGAGTGAGTGAGTGAGTGAGTGAGTGAGTGAGTGAGTGAGTGAGTGAATACCCAATTGTACCAATTGAATACCTCAGTTGAGATGTTTGGATCAGTTTAACTGAAGCTTATGACAACACATGAGTATATTGGTATTGGAATTCTAATCAAAACCGACCTTTCCAGTACACATAATATCCCATATAACACACCATGTTGTACCAAACATTAAAAAAACACACATAACCCTAAAGAAGAAAACAATATAAACCATCCCAAACTCCTGGCAAATATTGAAACAATGAATTAATGCAAAAACAAAAAAATGAAATATACAGCCCTCACTTTTCAGTAATAATCAGCCCCTGTTCAATCTAACACTAAATGGCCTGGCCCTGATTTCTCGAGAAGTTTTTATTCAAATTTCAAACTGAGTTTGACAGTTTGAAACAGCTGAATTTTAACTCAGCTGCATTTTTAAAATAAAAAAGCCCAAACAACATAAGTAATCTATCCACCAAACTAAAATTGTCTATACTACGCCTGAGTTTAATATCGATTTTATTTTATTATGAGAAATGTGTTTTCTCCAATTTCAGTAAAAACTTTAAGTCAAAACTCAGACTTAACTTTGTTTTGAGAAATCAGGGCCTGATGGGATTGCACATGAAATATGCTTGGTCTTGGAAAGTGCACATAAAACTCCAAATCATCATCGACAGTTAAAGGTGGTGCTATTATCAAGCCCTGAAATTTCAGCCTATTTAGGCAAGGGAGGAAACTTGACTTGGGTTACCTCCCTTGCATCAGGAACATGCAAAATACCCCAAAACATCAACACAATGATCTCAAGCCAAAACATCACCCTTAGCTGCTACAGGTGATTCAAGCCTGGTAAACAAAGGGAGGTAACCAGTATTGAGTTAACTCCCTTGCATAAGGAACCTCAAAAACTATGCAGTGATCTCAAGCTAAGTCATTTATCCACTTGAGACAGAGATGTAAATAACAAAGATGTGTGACTGACATGCCCTGCATTGAAAAAACACTGTGATCTTATTCATTATAGATTAGATATTGAAGAGCATTGTTTTCCTGTTAACCACAGATGTTTTCAGTGAAGTGTATTTCAAAGCGCTGTTGTCAGTGTCCAGTGGAGCGTGACAAATGACTGAACAGATGTAGATAAACTCACAATACCCTCACTGTTCTGTGTTGCTGAATTCATTGACGGCTTTTGTCAAATGCTGTTTGTGTACACAATACACAATCACAACAAGTTCGATGGGGAAGGTGAAATCTGGGGTGTGGGTGGGGAGTTGATGGGGAAGGTGAATGGAGGTCTGGGGTGGTGATGGGGACTGGCAGTTGAGGGTGGTGGCGAGGCCAGGGGAGGTGAATGGAGGTCTGGGGTGGCGATGGGGACTGACAGTTGAGGGTGGTGGCGAGGCCAGGGGAGGTGAAATGGAGGTCTGGGGTGGTGATGGGGACTGGCAGTTGAGGGTGGTGGCGAGGCCAGGGGGAGGTGAATGGAGGTCTGGGGGGTGGCGATGGGGACTGACAGTTGAGGGTGTCAGCGAGGCCAGGGGAGGTGAAATGGAGGTCTGGGGTGGTGATGGGGGACTGGCAGTTGAGGGTGTCAGCAAGGCGAGGGGGGAAGGTGAATGGAGGTCTGGGGTGGCGATGGGGGACTGGCAGTTGAGGGCGGTGGCGAGGCCAGGGGGGGAGGTGAATGGTGGTTAGTAGGGCTGCAACGATTCACCCAAACCGCTATTCATTTCGATTTTCGATATTGGACCCTCGACTCGATCATTTTCGATTCGATTCGTCATACAAATAAAAACATCAGATTTCATTTAACTCTGGTCTTTTTTAGCATGAAATCCATCGTCAACTTGGCGATGTCTACTAACAACAATTCTCATTGGAGAATTCGCCCAGCATCAACCAATTAGTTTCGCCTTATTTCAGTGCTCGATACTGCTCGAGTTGGAGTCAAAATTACGTTCTCGCTTTTTGGAAATAATCTAAATAGGTATTCAAATATCGAATCGAATTAGTGATATTGGTTATCGAAAATCGAAACTAAGGTGTCACTTTTGATTTTCGATGAATCGAATCGAATCGTGGCAGCCATAGTGGTTAGGGTGGTGATGGGGGAGAGGCAGCTGGGGAGGGTGTTGACCATGGGGGAGCGGCGATTGGAGGTATTGGGGAGGTGATAGGAAGGTGATGGCGAAGGTGAAATGGTGGATTGGGCAATGGTGGATTGTAATGGGAGTGGTGTATGAGATGGGGTGTTGGCAATGGGGGAGTGGTGCATGAGATGGGGTGTTGGCAATGGGGGAGTGGTGCATGAGATGGGGTGTTGGCAATGGGGGAGTGGTGCATGAGATGTATACTATGTTAAAAGCAATGTATTCAAATGTAAAATCTTGTGTACGATGTGGTTCTGGTGTAACAGATTATTTTGACTGCCCAATGGGACTACGACAAGGATGCATTGTAAGTCCGATTTTGTTCTCATTCTTCATAAACAAATTTTATTATGAGGTTATGCAAAAGGTTAAACATTGTGTACAGATGTTCCCAGATATGACAGAACTGTTTATGCTCCTATTTGCAGACGATGTCATTTTGACATCTGAAACTATTATTGGTTTGCAAAATCAGCTAAATATTCTTGAAAGTTATTCTGAAAACTGGAAACTATCCATAAATTTAGACAAAACTAAAATAGTCATATTCAGGAGGGGTGGCGCTGTTGCATCTAAGGAGAAATGGTTTCTTCACGGAAAATCTGTTGCTATTGTTAATCAATATAAATATCTGGGGATAATTTTTTCAAATACGATGAGTTTAAAAAGTTGTGTCTATGACTTGTTCCTACGTGCAAAGAAAGCAATGATTTCAATTTTATCTATCTCACATGAATGTGGAATTTTAACTCCAAATATATTTTTCAAACTGTTTGATGCCCAGATACAACCCATTTTTTTATATGGATCGGAAGTGTGGGGATTTCAACGCTACGATTACTTGGAGAGATTACATCTTATGGCTTGCAAGAAGTTTTTATGTGTTGGATCCGCTACTCCAAATTGTATGGTTTACGGTGAATGCGGGAGATATCCTGTGTACATTAATTCGCAAATATGATGCCTTAAATATTGGTTTAAGATTCTGCTAATGCATAAAAGTTGTCTACCAAATATGTCTTATAATATGATGGTTCATCTAGATAATATGGGTAAAATATCTTGGGCATCACATATTAGAAATCTTTTGTTTTCTCATGGATATGGGTATATGGATAAGCCAGGGTGTGGGCGATGTCCTAATGTTTTTAAAAGAATTTCGTGATCGAGCGGTAAATATGTTTCATCATTTCACTCTAGAAAGTAGATCTCGTTACGAATTATATAGAACATTTAAAACTCTATTACAACCTGAACTGTATTTATCTAAACTTACTTTAAGTGTAACAGAAATATATTTGGAGGCCGAAAACTGTCCATCCCAAAATCTGAAAGATCTTGTCCTCCATGTAAATCTTCAGTACAAGATGAACTACATTTTACCCTTGACTGTCCATTTTATGAAGATTTACGTTACATGCATATCCCAGAAGGTTATCTGTCAGAACCACCACTGATAGGTTTTACCAGTATATTAACAGCTAATAATGAATCCACCCTACCCAATCTAGCTCTCTATGTTAAATATACATTTATTCGTCGTAACGAGCACTTACAGTTAACCATGTCTTAATGTATGTAACTCGCTTGTATAAGGGCCGGTGACCTAAAATACAATAAACAATTGTCTTGTCTTGTCTTGCATGAGATGGGGTGTTGGCAATGGGGGAGTGGTGCATGAGATGGGGTGTTGGCAATGGGGAGGGTGCATGAGATGGGGTGTTGGCAATGGGGGAGGGTGCATGAGATGGGGTGTTGGCAATGGGGGAGAGGCTATTGGGGAGCAATGGGGTGGTAATGGGGAGTGGGGCGACTTCAGATGACACTTGTCAATGTGGGGTTGGAGATGAGGATGGGGTAATTGGGGGTGGGGTGGCAATGGGGTAGAAGCGATTTAGGGGTTAGGGGGTCAGGGGTGGATATGGAGTAGTTCAAGCAGGGTAGGGACTGGTAAGTGGGGAGCCGTGATTGGGGGTGATGGTGATTGTCTGTCTCTTATACAATGTCCTATCCCACACAATTGGCTTCTTGCCTGGGTGTCATCCCCTTGGTGACATCCCCTGTTCTGATGTTCTGATGGTTACATCTGGCAACTCACCAACAAATACTATAGCACTAAGCCAGCCTTTGTGTGACGATGTCATCTTGAGCTCGCAGGAAGCGGACGGCAGCAGGAACGACACTGACAACACCTCCACAGCATCACTGGACACTGCCCAGCCACACAGCAGCAGCAGGATGATGTGGAACCTGCCATAGCCTGAAACATCATCATCACCATCACCATCACCATCACCACCATCATCACCATCACCATCATCATCATCATCATCATCACCATCATCATCACCATCATCGTCATCATCATCATCATCATCATCATCATCACCGTCATCATGTAACCATCATCATCATTAGTATTCAACAGGTGGCATTGGACCACACGAACAAGCATTCAACAGGAGGCATTAGACCACACAAACAAGTATTCAACAGGTGGCATTAGACCACACGAACAAGCATTCAACAGGAAGCACTGGACCACACAAACAAGTATTCAACAGGTGGCATTAGACCACACAAACAAGTATTCAACAGGGGGCTATAGACCACACAAACAAGTATTCAACAGGGGGCTATAGACCACACAAACAAGTATTCAACAGGGGGCATTAGACCACACAAACAAGTATTCAAGAGGGGGCATTAGACCACACAAACAAGTATTCAAGAGGGGGCATTAGACCACACAAACAAGTATTCAACAGGGGGCATTAGACCACACAAACAAGCATTCAACAGGGGGCATTAGACCACACAAACAAATATTCAAGAGGGGGCATTACACCACACAAACAAGTATTCAACAGGAGGCATTAGACCACACGATCAAGCATTCAAGAGGGGGCATTAGACCACACAAACAAGTATTCAAGAGGTGGCATTAGACCAAACGAACAAGCATTCAACAGGGGGCATTAGACCACACAAACAAGCATTCAACAGGTGGCATTGGACCACACAAACAAGTATTCAACAGGTGGTGTTACAATACACAAACAAGCATTCAACAGATGGTGTTACAACAAGAGTGAGTGAGTGGGTTGGGTTTTACGCCGCTTTTTGCAATATCCCAGCAATCTCACAGCGGGGACACCAAAAATGGGCTTTACACATTGTACCCATGTGGGGAATCGAACCCGAGTCTTTGGCGTTATGAACGAACGCTTTAACCACTAGGCTACCCCAACGCCCCGTTACAAGAAGAGGCATTGCTACCTACCAATACATTTGACAGCCTCTTCATATGTGAAGACATTCTTCCTGTTCTCTGCTGGGGTACGCTCACCGTCTGCAAACAAACACCTGGTGTTATTTCTGCCAATACCAAACACATGTTGTTATTCCTGCCAATACCAAACAAGTCAAGTAATCAACAGCTTGAGCACCCATCTATGTGTTTAAGATACAAGATACAATGATCACCTCTTCTGACAAGCATGGGTTACTGAAGATCAATTCTAACCCAGATCTTCATGGGTCGCAAAAAGGGAGAGAATACGAACTAAGGAAATATAAGTTCTGTATCAGAATATGCACCCATAATATTAGGATACATCTTGTATCACTGCCTCACGGTATCGCTACCTCATGAAATTCTGCAATCTACTTTGAAAGTGAATGGTTGAGTTTTTGGAACTTGTACCAGTAATTAAAAGAGGACAAGTGCCAGTATTGGGAAGAGGACAATGAGGATGAGTGCCAGTAATAGAATAAGGACGAGTGCCAGTTATGTGAACAGGACGAGTGCCAGTATTGGGAAGAGGACAATGAGGATGAGTGCCAGTAATAGAATAAGGACGAGTGCCAGTTATGTGAACAGGACAAGTGCCAGTATTGGGAAGAGGACAATGAGGATGAGTGCCAGTAATAGAATAAGGACGAGTGCCAGTTATGTGAACAGGACGAGTGCCAGTATTGGGAAGAGGACAATGAGGATGACTGCCAGTAATAGAATGAGGGCGAGTGCCAGTTATATGAACAGGACGAGTGCCAGTATTGGGAAGAGGACAATGAGGACGAGTGTCAGAAATAGAATGAGGACGAGTGCTAGCAATAGCACTCCCCCGAAAAACTTTCCCTGAGGAGTGTTTCACCCTAATCTTTGGACTTAATGACTTATATGCATCCCCCTTCTCCAAAATCCTGTATCCAGCCTTGTGCTGCATCAAACTGTGCTACAAATCTGGACATGATCATCAAAGAGCTAATGACAGGTTGGATCAAATAAAACTGAATTGTACATTCATGTCCGTCCAAAAAACAATGCTATGACAGTGAGTATTCACCGACATCACAATAGAAGTTGTAGCACTGTGGTGACGGGTATACCGGGTTGTATGTGCTTGGAGCGTGCACCTTGTGGATGGATACAGCGCTTCATAAATACTCATTATTATTATTATATGCATCACGTGTTAGGTTTTATCCACCGAGCCAGAGGCAAGGTGAATAAAACCTAACGAGGGGTGCATACAACCCTGTATACCCCTCATCACAATGCTACAACAAATTATCTTACCAAATGTTTAAATCTCTCATTATGTAAATATAACATTAAAACAAACAGAAATTCAATCATATATTTTACAATCATGGTATTGACTAGTCGATCCGAACCATTGCTTCACGGTTCACTGACTGCCGTAGATGCATGCTTTTTCCATGGGTGGGGTTTAAATTATTTATTCTCCCTCGCACAGATTTGTACTGCTCTTGGGTTGTGTACGGCCGTACACCAGGCATACATGGTAATTTGTTCAAAGTCACGTGAACCAATCAGAGATGGACATTCTTACATGAGATAGGATAAAACAGGTCAAACCTTGTGTCGTGCAAACTGACCGAAATGGGTCCGAAAAATTCTTTCTACTGACAGTGGTAATGGCTGCTCTAACTCACATGAACAGAGAACATACCTGTTAAATATAAATGTTCATGGCTACCCAGCTCCGATAACTGATCATATTCCACAGTTGGCATAGTCACCAAAGACTCATTCCAAAAAATGGTTCTCACTCATATTCCACTGTCAGAATTGAACACATATTGATAGATACAGAATTATTTTGTAATGCAAGCTTTCACTTTGGCATGACAATACTGAGGTCCTCATTGCTATGTAAACAAAACAGCCAACCTGTTGCAGTCGGTCAATACCACCTCACTATAAAGTTCAGTTTAGAGATCATGCCTCAGTATAACGTGGAATTTAAACTTTGTATGTAAACAAGACCACAAATCAGCACTAATCGTTCATGCGTGACATGGTTGTATCAAGCATCCAGTAATACCATAACGTACAGATTTGTAATTGTTAAAATGGAAAATTATACCTGGGGAATGGAATTGGAGTCTTTTCGACTATTTAAGCAAATTACATGTTGACGGACAATGAACAGAATGAATGCATAAAACATACTTTTAACTGATCAATAACTGGAAAATGGTTACTGAGTAATAATAATGGGACATTGTTACTGTTATTATGAGTATTTAGTCGTTAGTTTCTTCCATGTTACACTGACCCATGAAGATTGGTAAGAATTGATCTTCACTAACCCATGCTTGTCTTAAAGGTGACTAACGGGATCGAGTGGTCAGGCTCACTGACTTGGTTGACACATGTCATTGGTTCCCAGTTGCGTAGATTGATGCTCATGCTGTTGATCACTGGATTGTCTGGTCCAGACTCGATTATTTGCAGACCACCACCATAGCTGGAATATTGCTGAGTGTGTCCTAAAACTAAACTCACTCACTCACTCACTTCCATGTTAATGTGGGTGAAACTGTTTTGTTGGCGGCCATGGTGCAGCCTTCTTGGGTTTGCATCCTACTGGCGAAATGTGTCTTTTTTGTGAAACATTTCTGCCATGTATGAGTGTGGGGATTAAACTTTCACATCGGCAAACAGTTCAACATGGTGGTTGGGTAGCTGGTTGGGTGGGTGGTTGGTTGGGTGGGTGAGTGAGGAGAGGCAAAGCTCACTCACCATAGTTGGGAAAAAAGGATTCACATTTCGAATTTAACTCAGATTCACATATTGTACCCAGATTCACATATCGTAATCAGATTCACATATTGTACCCAGATTCACATATTGTACTCATGTGTGAAATTGAACATGATGAGCATGTCGTAACCACTTGGGAGAGTAATCCATTCTTTTTAATGGTTTTGTTTGGGTTTTTTTGTTTTGTATTGTTTTTTGTTTGTTGTTTGTTTGGGTTTTGGAGGGTGTTTGGGAAGGGGGAGGAGGGGTGTTGATTGGTAGATTTGGGGTTGGGTGGGGTGGGGGGTGGGGGTGGGGGTGGGGGTGTTGTTTAGGTGTTATCAGTGTATGAAATAAGCCAAAAAGCCTGCCAGACATTAGGCTGGTAACCTCAAAATGTTCCCAGGCCAAAATGGATTTAACCAGACGAGACAATTCAAAGAAAATAACTCAATGTTTAGTTACAATGAATAATTTAATAAACCTGAGACGTGTGTATTTACCCGACCATCGATAGGTGTCGCTGTTTTAGTGACAATATATGTCAACACAGTGTTTTGAACTTGCCATACGATAGTTCAATGTTCAAACAGTAATTCGACTAACGTGATCGGGTGGTCAGGCTCGCTGTCTTGGTTGACACATGTCATAGGTTCCCAATTGCGCAGATCGATGCTCATGCTGTTGATCACTGGATTGTCTGGTCCAGACTCGATAATTTACAGACCGCCGCCATATTATTGGAATATTGCTGAGTGTGGCGTAAATCTAAACTCACTCACTCACTCACTCAAACAGTAATTGTCAAGTCTAAATGTAACGCTCAATGTGAAAATTAGATTTTATGATATAGTGAATTTACTCAGATGTATGGAACATGTTATCTAAAATGTTTACCAGACCATCGGGCTGGCTGGTGGTAAATTTAGACCGTCCGTCAGAAATATAGCCCGTCGAGGGCGGTCAGACGGGCCTTATTTCATACACTGGTGTTAAACAACTGATTAATTAAAAAGGCCTAAACCCCATTGTGTGCCATATGGCCAAGCCTATCCACCTCCCAGCAGGAAATGATTCCATCCTATTGTATTGTCCAACCTTGGTCTTTGCCCCATGACCAAACTAACATCCGTACATTCAACGAATAATTATTACCAGCTAGTAATTATTACCAGCAAGTCAATGTTTTCCATGTAAACATCTTAACTTTAATCATATAAATATAGAAGTTGATGACTCTGTAAGTGCCCAGACTCATATTCTGTGTATTGTCAACAACTGAGTGAGCGAATGAGTTCTACACAACTGTAACAAAGCCCACATGTGGTACTCTGATTCACGTATTGTACCCATGTGGGGAATTGAACCCAGATACACATATTATACCCAGATTCACATATCGTACCCAGATTCACATATTGTACTCATATTCACATATTGTACCCATGTGCGGAATCGAACCCAGATTGATATATTGTACCCAGATGCACATATTGTACCCACATGGGGAATTCGAACCCAGATTGATATATTGTACCCAGATCCACATATTGTACCCATGTGGGGAATCGAACCCAGATTCACATATTGTACCCAGATTCACATATTGTACCCATGTGTGGAATTGAGCCCAGATTCACAAATTTCACCCAGGTTCACATATTGTACCCAGAATCACAAATTGAACCCAGATTTACATATTGTACCCAGATTCACAAATTTCACCCAGATTCACATAGTGTCCCCATGTGGACAATTGAGCCCAGATTCACAAATTGCGTCCAGATTCACATATTGTACCCAGAGTCACAAATTGAACCCAGATTCACATAGTGTCCCAATGTGGAGAATTGAGCCCAGATTCACATAGTGTCCCCATGTGGAGAATTGAACCCAGATTCACATAGTGTCCCCATGTGGAGAATTGAGCCCAGATTCACATAGTGTCCCCATGTGGAGAATTGAACCCAGATTCACATAGTGTCCCCATGTGGAGAATTGAACCCAGATTCACAAATTGAACCCAGATTGACATACTGAACCCAGATTCACTAATTGAACCCAGATTCACATACTGTACTAATGTAGTGATATGATCATTATCATAACACAAATATTCAACTGAGCCAAACAGGTTAATTAAAAATATTATTCAACCTCCTTATTCATGTCTTCATCCAATCACTGTTTATTCATCCTGTAAATATCATTAGTTATTACACCGATGGGGACATAATATTAATGCCAAAGCTTTCCATTAGCGTACCATCTGTGACAACAATAATGCTCGAATTGAC